GATGGAAATTGTATCCCCTTTTCCTTCAGGGAACTTAAACTGAGGAGAGAGGGAGGAACCACCACTCTACAAACATTTTTCTGGGGACTGAAGGAGTTTCTAGAAGCTGAGGAGTTGAGCCACATGAAATTAATGCCCAAAGAAACACTTCCAAAGGATGTCCTGCAGCCATGGGATCACAGGTTCTGTCCAGCCCTTCTCACACAGCCCCTGCTCCCTGGGCCTGAGCTGCACTGCCAGCAGCTCCTGTGCTTCCAGCATTCCCTGGAACCAGCAGCTGAGGCAGAGCTCCATCCCATCCCATCCCATCCCATCCCATCCCATCCCATCCCATCCCACCGAACCCAGAGCCACAGCTCAGCTGAGACATCCTCCCTCAGAGAGCCTTGGAAATGGGTGTGCATTTTCCAAGGAAAGAGCAACCTCCAGCTCAGAGCTGCATTTCTGAGCTCTATCCCTTTCCAAATAATCCCATTTCTGTGATTACTGTGTCTAGAGCAGAAGGCGGGACTGCAACTGTCATCTCCCTCCTTCAGCAGGAAGGAAAAGCAGCCAGCAGCCCCCAGGGAGACCAGGCGTGTTCCAATTTACACTCCCAACCTCACTGCGCTCCTGTATCCCACTTTTCTAACTTAAAAAAATTCCCTGTGTTTTTTAACAGCCCCCTCTGGGCCACAAGAGCCACCCCTGATAAAATCAGAAAGGTTATTTAGGAAAGAACAAGCAATTGTTGGTTGACTCTTTCAAATCACATCCACCAAAGACACAAACCCAAAGCAGTAATTTGTTCATTACTGAAGCTTGTCATGAGAACTCTGGAGTTCTAAGGGAGCCCAAAAATTAGTTTTATGGCATTAAAAAAAAAAAAAAGAAGAAGAAGAAGAAGAAATCAGAGCGCTGTTATTCCTCATATTGAATAGTTTAACTCCCAGAAAATATTAAACATTTGGTGATGTTTTTTTCAGTGTAGTTACTGAATTTTCATGGAGTTCAATTTGTAAGGAAAGCCACGACCCTGCAAAGAACAGTATTTTTTCCAGAGCAAAACCAGCAGCCTAAAATCATACAGCCTTGAACTCCCTGATGCACTTGGAAACAGCTTTCCAAATTGTTTCTGTGTTATTTTTAGGAGAGATATTTAATTTACCATCACCCTGCTATTTATTGGTGTGCTCTAATAGAGCTGTGTCTTGAAGAAGTCCCTGACATCCCTGAGTGCTCGTGCACCGACATCTCCCCGCTCCAGCACTCACCACCTCGTCCCTCGTGGTGCATCAACCCGGGAGCTGCAGCACAGCCAGGCCTGGGGCTGGGCACACCCTGGGCACACAGCCCTGCTCCCCACATTCCTCCTGATGGAGAAGTGGAGGGCTGTCCCACTGTAACTCCTCTCAGGGCACTCCCATCCTGCTGCAGAGGAGGATGGAGCTCAGCACCAGAGATGGAGAAATAAAGCACCAGCCAGAGGCAGCTCCCGCTCAGCCCCTTCCAGGAGGAGCTGTGGCCAGGCTGGAGAGAACTCATCTGCACTGCCTTCCAGAGGGATTCAGACATCCAGCCCTGCTCAGCTGGGGGGCCTGACCTGCTCCTGAAGATGTTCTTGAACGTTTTAACTGTAGAAATTCATGGAAGGTCCCACACAAAGCCCTTGGCAATGGCAGATGCTGAACCTGGGTGTAAAACCTCCCTCTGTCTCAAACCCTGGCAGTTCCACCTCTCATCTGTTGTCATTTTGGAAGAGGAATCCTTGCACACACGGCCTTTGGAAGCACTCTGTCCCCAGGGGCAATTCCTGTGCCCACCACCATGTCCATACCTCCTGTGTGACTCAGTGGGAGCGGGGACCACTCCGACTGCTCTGACCCCAGCTTGGCTCCATCAGCACAGACACCTCAGACAGGTGGGAGAGGTGGGGTTGCAGCTTTCCTTGGCTCCAGCACCAGCTGGGACTCCAGTGCCATCCCCACACTCCAGGAGGAAACGCCCACAACTATTCCCACCATCTTCTCTCCACGGTGCAGTTCAGGGGTAAGTGAGGAGAGGGTGCAGAGGCAGGGGGAGGGGCTCATCACACAGGAACAAGCCCAGGTCTCATGGAAGCTTCACATCATTTTTTTTTTTTTTAACCAAAGGAAATCTCCCACAAATTCCAACAGTAATTACATGGATGAATTCCAGCTGGAGGACCCTGGCAGAGGAACTGCCTTCCCAGGCTGATCCACCTGTTGGCAGTAGCTGAAGATGCTCCCAACCCTCCGTGCTGGATTGGGAACAGGATGGGGGAGCTGCACGGAGAGATATCAGAACTTCACATGCAGAGAGGAAGATGAACAGCCTGAACCTTCCCCATGCTGAGGAGAAAGAGCCAGAAGCATCAGGAGCTGGCTGAGGAGCCCCTGCCGTGCCCTGTTTGGGTAATGCATACACACAGATCTGCTCCCTATACTGAGACAGAGCACAAATATTTCTCTTTCAAGATGCTGACAGAGAAATAAAAACACAAGTAAGATTTCTTTGCAGGAGCCTCCACAGATAGAAAGAGTGTTTATCTACCAGCAAAGATGTGAGGGAAAAGCCAGTTTGGGCATAAAAATAAGTGTCCAAGAGCCACTCACTCACCCCTCACCCCACTGCCACGGCCAGTAAAATCCATATTGACCCATGGTGACCCCTGAGTGTCACACTGGCTGCAACACTCAGGAATTTCAGAGAGTATTTCAAAGGTTCACAAGATTTTTGTGGTTGGCTACTTGGTTTTCTTCCTTCCAGTAACTTACAGCTTCTCACCCACCACCACACAATGGCACTTAGTCGCTTAACAGGGCCAGTTCTCTTCCTAAAATAGTTCTTTTCTATTTCTTTCTGACTGGAACATGTTCTGAACTGTGTTTTGAAGGAGGAGAGGACAATGGGGGACAGTTTTACTGCATGAAAATCTGCTTAAAGGCGGCTGAACCAAGCTGTAAAATATATATTCAGTAAAATCTCACGGTGTGGGCCAGTTCCTGCTTTCTGGATGATTTGATTAAAAAGCAATTTTGAACAGATGCTTCGTCACAATACATTAAAACATTTAGTGTATACAAATATCTCAGAAATGCAGAAACTGTCCAAATATCTTATTTTCTGCGAACTCCCTTACGTAACGAATTGCCACAGATTTTGCAGATATCGTGGCCTTATCCAAAGGCTTCTGGTGCCCAGGATTTCCTTCTGAACTAGATCTCGGTGGGGAGCGCCCAGGATTTGCTCTGGGATGAGAACCGGTGCGGAACAGCTGGGTAATTCCACCCTCCCGGCTGGCGGGAGCCTCGAGCAGCTCAGCAGCTGCTGAGCCGGTACTTCAGCACAACTTCAGCGCCGCTCATCCCTCCCAGCTCCGCGGCTCCGGCTCACGCAGAACATGAGATCATCTGGTTTGCAGCCCGGGAAGGGTGTTGGCGATGCAAGGAGCGTGGAGCAGGAGGCAGCCCGGGGTGGGAGCGATGCCAGGCTCCCTCGCACGAACAGCGGGGCTGCGCCCGCCGAGGCAGCGCCGGGAAGCGGAGACGGGCACGATGGAGCCGCACAAATTGCCGGGCGGTGAGCACGGCGCTGGATCCGCGGCGGTGCAGCGCCTTTGGATGTGCCCACAGGGGCAGGCGAGCAGGGAAAAACCAGATCCTTGGTGTTCCTTCAGGGAAACGGGCAGGACGGAGCCCGGCCGGGCAGAGCGCAGCGCTCCGCTCGCCTCGGCTGCAGCGGCCGGAGCTGGCACGGACAGATGGGAACACGGAGGATCGGTGGCTGCTGACAGCACAGAGTGGATTTGCCGTGAAAACCTCACAAGTTTCCAGCTGGGAAAAGCGGGGGATCTCTCCGCCCGCTGCACAAAAATAAAAATAAACCCCACCACCACCTTCCGCATGCGAAGGCGTAGGACAGGGAGCGAGGAACTCCGCTGCTCACGATGCATCTGGTGGCGCTTCTGTCACTGTCACCGTGCCCGCGATCGCTGCCGAGGAGCACCCGGGGTTCGCTGCGGGGGCTCGGCGGCTGCACCGGGGTCCCGGGGGGACACCCCATCCCGGGGGACACCCCATCCCTCCGGGGACCAAAGTCCGGCTCAGCCCCGGACAGATGCCCGCTCCCGGGCTCGAGGAGCCGCAGAAGGGCAGGAGGATGGAGCGGGGGGTGACAAGTCTCCGTGCCCCGACACCCACCGAGGTTCAGCCCCGGGGGCGAGAGCGGCACGATCGCAGCGCACCCAGGGGGTGAGAGGGAAGACGGGGGAGGGGAACGGGCGGGCGCTGCAGCGCATCTCCCCCGCACACACATACACGGTTCTCTAATCCTCCGGCTCTGCTCATCCCTCGGCTCCTCCCGGAGCCGCCGGAGCCTCGGCGGGCGCGGAGCGGCGCTCCCGGGCTGCAGCCGCCCCCAGCCCCGGGTCCCTCCCGGGCCCCCCGCTCCGTCCAGCCGGGGCCGGGGGACAGCGGGACCCCGACCCGGGAAGGGGCTGGTGCTGGAGCTGCCCCGCACGGCCCCATCTCAGTCAAGAGCCGCCGGGGAAAGCTCCCCCGACCCTTTCCAGGTCTTCCGAGACCGCCGGGCCCCGGTCTGCTGCGGCCCCCCAGCCCCTGCCCCGCACCACGCGCGGTGTCCCGGCCGTGTCCCACTGGGATGCTCTGCGCCCGCATCCCCGCCGAGCCACGGCTCTCACTAACGCAAACCCAGCGCAACCATCGCCTTTGCCTCTCCTATTTTTTTTTTTCCTCCTTTCCCTTAGGGATCGGTTCGTGCAAATGGAGCGATAAATCCAGAAAGCGCCACGCACCGTGGAGAAGGGAGCCGGGGGAGGATGCTGGAACGGGGAGGGCGGCAGGGAGGGAAGGCAGCTGCTCCGGAGGGAGGCGGATGGAGCACCTGGAGAGGCACGAGGGGAGCGGGGAGCGGCGGCAGAGCCCCCCGGCACGGCCCGGGGCTCCGGCACCCGCCCGGCCCGGCGCCGGCAGCCCTACCTGGAAGAGCCGGAGGATGTTGGCCACCATAATGGACACGGAACTTCCCGACGCCCCGATCACTCCAACTACTTTCTCCGGCTTGACGAAGACGGGCGGCTCGCCGTTCGTGCACCTCACGTCGGAGGTGTCCTTCTGGATGAGCGCCTGCACGAAGGTGAGGGACTGCTCCAGCGCGTAGGTGTCCCGGGAGCAGGTGTCCAGGATGCGGGCGCCCAGCGTGACGTTGGGCAGCAGGTCCGGGTCGCTGTTGATCTGGTCCAGCGCGTAGAGCATCGCCTCCAGCCTGTGGATGCCGTTCTCCTTCTTGATGTCCCCGCAGGGCGAGCCCAGGGAGCCCTTGGCGTGCACGGGGAAGAGGCCGCCCAGGGTGATGTCCCCCTCCAGGCGGATGGAGTGGGGCGCGTACATCTCCTGCCCGCGGGCCGCCTCCCCGAGCAGCAGCTCCAGGAGGCAGCAGGGCAGCTCGAGCAGCGCCAGCAGCCGCAGCAGCCGGCCCGGCCCGACCATGGTGATGCCGCCGCCGCCCCCGGCGCTGCCCCGCGCTCCCGAGGGGCCGGGCCGGGCGGGATGGCCGGGGAGGGCTGCGGGGTTCGGCCGCTCCCGCCCGCCCTGCCCGCGCTCCCGGCTCCCGGCGCTGGGCACCGCGACCGCCGCGGCCGCTTTAAAGCGCCGGGGCCGCCCGCCCCCCGGCCCGCCCCGCCCGCCGCCGCTGCGCAGCCACCGCAGCACCGCCCCGGAGCGGGATGGGATGCGATGGGATGGGATGGGATGGGATGCGATGGGATGCGATGGGATGGGATGGGATGGGATGGGATGGGATGGGACGGGGATGGGATGAGACAGGGATGGGATGGAGATGCGGGTGGGATGGGGCCGGGGCCAGGGTTGGTCCCAGCCCCTCCGCCCGCCCCCCGGGCTGGGTGTTCACAGGTGTTCCGCGGCCCGGCCGGACCCGCCGGCGCCGGGAAGGGGGAGCCGGGGGGACCCCACGGCCGGAGCCCGGGGCTGGGAGCGGCTCGGGAGAGCCCGCCAAAGGCGCCTTCGTGGGGACACTCGCTCAGCCCCACTGGAGCATCCTCCTGCTCCTCCTCCTCCTCGTTCTCCCGGCCGGGAGCGCAGCGCCCTCCGCTCGCGGGGCCCGGGACCGGCCGGGGAGCAGAGGGGGCCGCCCCCCAGAGCCCCGCAGCCCGCCGGGGTGCTGGAGCAGCCCGCCAGCACAGCGCCGGGTCTCGTTGCCTAAGCAGCAATCCCGACTGTGACATGGAAACGAGATCCTCCCCCCGCTGAGGTGGGTACCGATGGAGCCCGCGAGGAGGAGGAGGAGTTTGGATGTAATCCCTTACTCCCAAATCCGAAGCAATGCATCCTTCTGTTTTGAGATCTCCAGACCCATTTTTGTTTTGCACACCCAGATCTGGAGGATGCTGCAATATCCTGGTTTTGTTTCCTTCACCCAAAACTCTGAACACCCAAAGAGACAGCACCTGTTGCCATTCTGTGCTGACCAGCAAATCCACGCCCTGTCACATTCCCAGTTCAAGAGTAATTTAGAATACATCCCTCAGATGTTTCCACCAGACCAAGCATGTTTTTTGGAGACAACCTTTCTTCACTTAATTACCTTTAATTTCTCCTTCATAAATACCAGATCAGCTGTATGAACAGCTCTCACACACACACTGGACCAGCAGCACTCCATGTGTTCAACCTGCCCAGTCATGGAATGGGTTGGAACCACAACCAATGGTTTGGGTTGGAAGGGACCTCAAAGCCCATCCCAGTTCCACCCCCTGCCATGGGCAGGGACACCTTCCACCAGCCCAGGGTGACTCCAAGCCCTGTCCAACCTGGCCTTGGACACTTCCAGGGATGGGAATCCACAACTTCTCTGGGCACCCTGTGCCAGGGCCTGCCCACCCTCCCAGGGAAGGATTCCTTCCCAATATCCCATCTCTCCCTGCCCTCGGGCAGTGGGAAGCCATTCCCTGTGTCCTGTCCCTCCATGCCTTGTCCCCAGTCCCTCTCCAGCTCTCCTGGAGCCCCTTTAGGCCCTGGAAGGGGCTCTCAGGTCTCCCTGGAGCCTTCTCTTCTCCAGAGGAACCCTCCAGCTCTCCCAGCCTGGCTCCAGAGCAGAGGGATCCAGCCCTTGGATCCTCTCGGTGCCTCCTCTGGACTCTCTGGCAGCTCCACATCCTCCCTGTGCTGTTCCCAGGGCTGGGGCTGCTCTGCAGGGGGGTCTCACCTGAGGGGACAGAGGAGCAGAATCCCCCCCTGCCCTGCTGTCCACGCTGGGGGGTCAGCCCAGGGCACGGGGGGTTCTGGGCTCTCAGTGCCCATGGCCAGGGCACGTTGAGCTTCTCATCAACTCAGCTACTCCTCTGAAGTGTCACTCAGAGACAGCTCCAGTGATTGCTTCATTTCCAACACATTATATTTCAGTGAAGTCAGAGTAACACAACTGTTACTGCCATAACAGTAAAAACCATCAGTAAAAACTGATGGTTTTTATCTGTTTTGGCCCAGACAAATTTTATCTCCCAACACTGAAGAGCTGCAGCGTGACCAGTCTGGCAGACACAGGTGAGTGGCTCTGCTGACTGAGTCCTGACAGAGATGGAGCTGGCCAGGGGTTAATGTCACACCTTCCAGTAATTATTAAACCCTTTGAACACCTTCAAATCTCTACTTTTTAAAATTGTGTCCTTACCATATTCTCCAGCCTTTTCTTCTTTTCTTTTCTTTTTTTTTTTTGTTGGTTCTGTGTCCACTTGTTTTTGGCAGAAGTTGCTACAAGCAAGGACTCCAAACTGGTGCTATTCAAATACCACCAGAACCAGAGCAGCAAATGAATGTTCCCTGGTGAAAGGGGGTGTTTGGAAGCAGCAGCAGAACTGGACAGACATGGCAGCTCGGAAGATTTACAGCAGGGCCAGGACATAACAAGCATAAACAGCAATAAAAGCAGCTGGAGTTCTCCACTAGAAATTATAATTTTCAGGCTTGGGACCAAAGTTTAGTTTTTCCATGGACTGAAAACATCACAAATGGTTATTTCATTGTAATTTGGGTATCACAATCCAGCTTGTGCCAACACCCAGGCCTTGCTCTCCACTTCATCCTCCTTCCCTCACACCTTGGTTTACCTAAAGAATCAGTCTCCATACTCCACAGCAGACTCCCTAAGGAACACAGGAACTGACACAGCTCATCAGGGCAGACCCAGGGTCCATCCTAGCCCAGGGGCTTGTCTTGGAACAGCAGATGTGTCAGAAGAAAAGGCCAGAGCTTTGCTGTGTGCAGATGCCTTTAATCTGTTCCTGCCATAAATCTCTTCCTGGTCTCTCATATACAGAAATTGGTTTAAGCCCTGAAGCATGAAAAATTATTCTAATTACAGTACAAAAATTGATATAGTTAATCATTACTCTGGATATTCTTGATATCCATAAAGGGGCCCAGCCCCTCTTCCACTCTTGTGAAGTACTTGGCTCCCGTGGTAACAAGTACCATTGGACATTGCCTGAAAAACCCTGGCTATCAGTTTTCAGTCTCCTGCCTTTTAAATTTAACTCTTCAGCAGACAGGATCTCCCTTCCATCATACCTGAGCTGCATCCACTGTGTGCACTCAGCTACCCACACCCACTCTGGCCCTCTCAGACAAGGAAGTAAATATAATAACAGCCTGTGCAGCTGTCACTGCTGCGTTTTCCTTGGAAGAAGCATTTGGACTTGATGATCTTAAAGGCCTTTTCCAACCAAAATGAGTCTGTGATTCTCTGCTTTCAGTTTGGATTGCTGAACACCTGGAGGTGAGACAGCGCTGACTAACCATGACAGAGAGTGTATCACACCTGAGTGTGTGACAGCCCGGATCCCACTGAGCTAAAACATCCTCCCCTCCCCTGTGGCCCACCAGAACAGCCAGCTAAGGGGATTCAACCGGCAATTCCTAAGAAAAGTTGAATCATGTCCACTGCAGGCTGCACTGCCCACCCTCAGAGCCATCAGCGACACAGCAAATCACGGCAGAGCTGGAGCCGTGATCTGGAACGACTCAGAAAGTGATGCCATTGCAGTACCCAGTGCTTTATGTCTTTAATGGGAATATTGACAGAAGCATATGGGAATGGTGGGAAAGTCATTTCAGTGTGATGCTTTGTGCTTCACTTCCCAGTGAGTCATTCGTGCACCAAACCCAACTCCCAGCACAAGTCACTCTGAGCTCCCAGAGACAGCAAACACGCCCTTCACGTGCCCTGCCCAACCTTGGGGGCTGTGTCCTCCCACCAGCACAGGCTGGAGACCCCCTGGGACAAGCATGAAGCTGTTGTGCTTTCCTCACCCAAAGAATGACACACCAGGGAGGTTGGCACTGGGGTTTGATGCACTGTTACCACTCCAGGTAGGACCAGGCACCCAGAAACCAAAGTCCCATCTGTGTCTCCACCACCCATGGGCACAGTCCCACTGCCTGGCACTTTGCAGGGCTGGGGACATGCTCCATCCCCCCCAGTGGAGGTTTGCTTCACCAAAATAAACCCCAAACCCCCACAAATCAAAACAAAAGTTCACCAGAAAAATAACAAAACAACAACAACAAGAAAACAAATCAAGCCCGATCTTCTTAGCAGGAGAATTTGTTTTGACGTCAACAGTGGTTAAACACATCCAAGAGAATATTCAAAAACATTGCTTAACTCGCCTGTCAAATAAGATGGTGGATTCAGCCAAATTGCTCCTGGATAAGCAAAGGCTTTGCCAGCAAGGAATCAGCCTCATCACTGGCATCCTTCCGGGAGTGGTGCGATCACCAGCACAGGAGGATCTCCCGCATCTCCTTTCAGAGCTGCTGTATAATTAAACATTGCTTTTATCTGCACAGCTGGCAGAGTGAACATGAAATCCTGTTAAAACTGACCACTGGAAGCAAAACCAAGAGCGATGGAATAGCAGGAAGGAGGAATAAAACAATCTTTCAAATGCTGGGAACGTGGCACGAGGCTGCCGTGCCATCGGAGGTCAGCTTGGACAACTGTAATGGACGTGGTACAAGCAATTAACTTGTTGGGTGAAGTCAGGGCTGGGACAGCAGCCAGAGCTCCCATGTCTGGTGTTCAGAAAATAATGGATTTTTGGAGCAGAGGCCAGCGAAAAACTCAGATCCTTAACTCAGGGCTTTGTTGTGGCTGTTTAAAAAGAGAAGGTGACAGTGTGGCTCTGGTTTCCAGGGAGGACAGGGGACAGCAAACTATTAAAATATTAAAATATCCTATAGATTATAAAGAGATTATCATTTATAAACCATGTGAAGTTATTAAATCTACAAGACTCGCTATGGATGATTTCCAAGTCTATAGAGAATAAAACTGCACTGAACACTCTGTGCTACAGGAAGTGTCTGGGCCTAGCTCCCTGTTGCAACCCACAGGTGTGACCCCACGTGAGAGCAGAGCAGCTCTGAGAGCCCCAGCCTCACTGCAGGGAGAGAAACGTTTCTTTCCTCTGCTGCTCTCCAAGGTCCAGCATCACACACACAGTTATTTTCCATTTGCAGTCACCTCCCTGTGCTGCCTCCCGGGCCCCGGCGGCTGCTGCTGGGAAGAGCAAAAGGCTCTGGGGGGAGGAGAGAGAACCTTGGAGGAGAGAGAGCTCTGGGAGGAGGGGGGAGCTGGAGCTGCTGGGTCTGTGCTGGACAGGGTCCCAGCCGGCAGGTCCCCGCCGTGCCGGCAGACGCCGCGAACCGGAGGGACCCGCGGCTGACGTGGCACAAGGGTCCCCTTGGAGAGCCCTCCCTGGCACCCCACAGGGGCAGCAGATGCTCTGTGAGCCACCAGAGCTGGCACAGGGTGGGGTGGATCCCTCCCCCACTGCTCTGTGCCGGTGCCACGGGTCACATCCCAACCATTAAAGCCCCCTGTGGGGAGGGACGTGCCTGGCACGGGACGGAGGAGACCTCACCAAACTGTGCTGAGCAGCTCCTGCCAAGGTGTGAACCTTCCAGGAGTCCAGGGAAGCAGGCTCAGCACTGGAAGAGCAGCTCTAACAGAAGGTGCCAGTCAACAACAGCCCCAGCTCGTGTTTCTATCAACCTTCCACTCTGATCCATCCCATCCTGAGCAGCAGGAGCTCGGCAGACTCAGACAGGGAATTTCTGATAATACCACTGAAAAAAATAACAGCCCTCTGAGCTTCTACAAGTGCAGAGATGGTACATTTTGAAATTTCAGTACAGGTTATTTATGTAAAAATACCACCAGACTAATACAGGAAACTTGGAATAACCAGGGGAGGATATTGCCAACAAGTCTTGGGTTCTTCATTAGAATTTCCTTGGGTTTTCAAACATCAATTGTTTCCATCAAAAGGACACCTTCAGAAGCAACCAAAACTGAAATGAAATCACAATAACCCCCAATTTTTTTCTAAATACCATTTTAAAAGCCAAACTTGCTATATATTGGAAAACATAGCAAGAAACAATCTGGGCTTGGCAGTGCTGGGTTTATAGTGGGACTTGATGACCTGAAAGGTCCTCTCCAATCTAAATGATTTTGTGATTCTGTGGTTAGAAAAAGGAACCTCAGTGCAGGGGTCTGGTACCCCCATCCCCACTACCAGGGAAAGATGAAATGGGAAGGCCCTTGCTGCTCCCAAGGATGAGGGCTTTGGTCAGTTGGGCATTTTCCCCACCAAAAGCTGCCAACCCTGGAGTCCCATCATTCCCTGTGCCCGGGCTTTGAAAGCCATCCGAGCATTTGAGAGGAACAGATCAATCAATTATTCAGGAGACACTCGCAAACCACCCCTTGGAGATGACAGATCTTCCAACCAGGCAGCTCCATCAGCCGGGCGCTCCAGCCCAATCATGGAAATCGCTGCAATTCACACACAACAATCACTCCTGCCTCGCAAACACTTGTTATTCTCTCGCTTTCTTATTTACTAAGTACGCTGTGATTTGCTTAATGCCTGGAACATCTCTTCCAGTGCTAGAATGAGAATGAAGGAATTGTACATTCCTGATAATTAAATAAGACAGCTTTCTCAAAATAATAACAGTTTTGTAATGTCAGACAATGAACTGAGCCAGCCAGCACAGGCAGGTCGCCTCCTCCCCGGCTGGCTGTGCTGCCTGGACTTTTCTAAGGGACACAGTGGCATTAAAGCTGATGGAATCACTCAGGATGCTCTTGAGAGCCTTTTTTCTGCCCTTTTCTGCCCTTCACAGCTTCACCAAATTTTAAGCAAAACCCTTTAAAAATATTTGACCTTTTTTTTTCCCCAAAGAACTTTGGGGTTTGCTGCCAGCCCAGGCCTCATGCAGCTCCACTTCATCAACACCCACGCCCTGAGTCGCTTCAGCCTCATCCTCCAGCACAGCCTGAGCCTGGAGCCCACTGCTGAGCACTCCCTGAGCCTGGAGCCCACTGCTGAGCACTCCTCGAGTCAGAGCCCAGCCCTTTCCCCTGGGCTCTCTGTCCTCAGCAGCACCAGTGGCTGAGCAGCTCAGAGCCAGTAACACAATTAATTCCACGGGACGAGTGATGGTATCACCCCTGTTCACAGCAGGGCTGCTGGGCAAGGGCTCACAACCATGAGGGGAAAAACACCCTCCAATTTAGGGGCTGCCTTTGGGGTTTGTTGGGTTTGGGGGTTTTAGGGCTTGCTTTTGATAACTTCATTTTCAGGAGCTGGAGGGTGTCCCCTGTGCTGAACAGGCTGGTGGGGTGGGGGAGCCTCTCCAAGGTGCTCCCACCTGTCCTGTGCTGCCAGGACAGACAATGACCTTGGGATGGGCAGAGCCAGAGTCACCACAGGGCCAAGGGACCCACCTGGCTCACATCCCTGTAAATGAGTCCCTGATATTTTACCATTGCTGCCCAGAAATGAATCACTGTTTAATTTCTGGCTTTAACAGCAGGGTGTACACAACAGTGCACAGGTTCTGTGATGGATGACTGCCTGTATCATATGTGGGTCAGAAAGGTTTTCTTTGTAAACTGCTTCCAGAGCTTTATGAGCTCACTGGACAGTTCACATCAGCTTAAACACTTGGACACAAAGCCCTAGAATCATAGAATGGTTTGGGGTGGAAGGAACCCTAGAGACTATCCAGTTCCAACCCTCTGCCATGGGCAGGGACACCTTCCATTGACATCTTCCATGAGCACATGCAGAGTTCGCACACTCATTCCTTCCTGACTTTAAAACTGTGCCCTTTTTGGAGCTTCATTATATTTATTTAACTAAAGAGAGGTTGCTTGCCACAGGAAGGAAAACCTTATTGGTAATTCCATACACTTTGTTGTTTGTTTGCTGTAATAGAGACTCACAGAAAACTCCATTTCAAGTTAAGGAGGAACTTCTCCACAAAAATCCCTTCCCCTTTGGAACAGCCCAGACCACAGGGAGCCCCAAAGCACCAAATCACTGGTTGCTCTGAGCTGATTCCACACGAGGTTGAGTCCCCACTGTGCAAGGTGCTGTGATATCAAACACCATCACAGCTGGCACTCCTCTTAATTAGATCTGACAAGTCTTGATAATGAATCATTGAGAATATGAGTTAAGCATAATATAAAGCAAACAGCAAGGATCTTATGTAATTCTTCCTACTTCAATGGCTGCAGGAATTGAGTCATGAAATTGTTTTGGAACATTTTATGACAGAAGTCAGGAGCGTTCTTTGTAAATTAAGTTTTAACTTCTTTTTTTTTTTTTTTTAAGGTCTCTTCCTGGCTGTGCCCATTTTGTAGAAGTGTAGATCTTTTCCTCATCTGTTTCATTTATTCCCTTGACATCTTTCCTCATTCATACTGTAGAAAGCCTGGTCTGTGCAAGGTTTTAGCCCTGAGTACAACAACAAGCAAACTCAGGCAAAATACATTGACGACCTGGTCTCCCCAGCTAATGATAACAGATTGTTTTCTCTTGATGTGGTTTTACTGTTTATGGATCCTCCAATATTGAAGTTTCTGCATCCCAGGTGACAGCCCAGCATTTTCAGAGTGCTCCTCTTCAAGACTCACTGTGTTTTCCATAAAAACCAACAATTTACAGTGACTGGAAACATCTCCATCACCTATCGGCTGCTCTGATAATATTGCTTTTGTCTGAGATGCCTTGTTATGGTAATGATTGAAATAAGATTTTTCAAACCTCCCATAGGGATTTGGAAGGTGCAGGTGTTGAGTTTTGTCTCTCAGGAGACCCTGGGCTAACAAGAGCTTTTTAGAGCAGTTGCTTGAGATAAACGAGTAGAGAAAGGACAAAATCAAAAATGCCACAATTAAAACCCTCTTTGTTGGGAGCAGCAGGGCAGGAATGGAGGCTTTAATGAGTCCCAAAGACACAGAGGAGCTCGAGGTGCCGTGGTTGTGCCTAAAGTAGGTGAACTACTTTCAGCTGCAGCACCACCAAGGGCGCCCGGCTGGGCCCACAGTCTCAGAGCTGATCCACTTCCACTGAGGTCACTGCAAACTCATTAATTTAAAAAGATTGGACCATTAATTTGAAAGCTATTGACAGAGCAGCGGGAGCTGGTCTGGAGAATTGAATAACGTGGGGACAGAGAACATCCTTGGAGTCTCATCACCCCAACCCCGGAGCTGGGCACAGGCAGAGCCCGGTTAAGTTCCCTTAACAGGAGATTAAGTGGGCCACGAGTGTTACAAACAGGCTCTGTGTGTGTTTCAATATTTTTACGCCCAAGAGAAAATGGATTTTACCCCCAGTTAGTTCAAATCAATGACTCTGCCCTTACCAGGACGTTCCACCGGCTGAAGATTCGACGCGGCACAAATTGCGAGGCCCGAGGGTCAAACACCTTCTTGGCTCAGCACCCTCACAGCAATCCCAGCCACACCTCCCACATCATCGTGGCTCCCTTCAGGAGACAGTTCCTGTTAACCAGAGACCTGGGGGAAGATGGACAAACAGTCAGAAAAAGGGTTTTATTTAATCCAGCACAGACAGAGGAGGTTGTGGCCACACGGAGCTGTCACTGCCCAACTTGTTGGCACTTGAGCTCTGCTGGGCCCTTCAAGCTAACCAAACATGTTTGAGTGAATAATTTAAATATTTTCACTAATTTTTGTCCAGCTAAATGGAAGCAAATATTACTTCTTGAAAATATTAGGGCACTTTGTAGGAAAAAGAAATGTCAAAATGTAGATATTTTTCTGTGCAAGCTGTCATCCACCCCTGGCCTCATCAGAGCTGTCTCTAAGGGCAACTCCCAATATTCTGGGATTCTAATCCTGGCTCCACCACTGCCCTGCACTGAGGACATACAGGAGCCCCCTCTGAGGCACAGAAACACAGCAAAGAGCCAGCTCCTGCATCCATGTCTTATTTATAACTACTGCTAAATATTGAGGTAATAGTGTAAAATAGCTGATTTCACCCTGCCCCCTTTTCCCCAGCTTTTCCACAGATGAAAAGCATCTGTGAAAAAGCTGCTTCGTGCTGAGCACCTTCAGCAAGCATTATTTTATTGTGATATGCAGAGCTGAAAACCGAATCTGATACAGATATTGGATCAAACCTTGTACTCCGTGGCAATCTAATTTTATCCTGACATGTTGATTGCTTGCTCTTCATCTACAGCTGCTGTCCCAAAGGGTGCTAAGTGAGAGAAGCTCTAGGTTTTTTTCTTCCCTGCAAGAAGATGACATGAAATAAATGCAGGAGAACACACAGGAACAATGTGGGGTTTGTTATGCACAAGACAGCTCTGAGGAGGGAAAAAAATTGGAACTGAGATTTCTGAGGGATGGGACAAAACATGATGGAATTTCTGACTAACAAATCACATAGAACATTCAAACCAAGGGAATTGGGGTTCTTGAAAACCACTCTGTATTGTCTTCCCTGATTACTTCAGGTGGGAAACATGGAATTCCTTTAAAAAGTCAGGCCTTTTGACTCATGTTATCTATGGACAAATGCTACTTAGGAATTTACAGCTCATAGATCAACCCAATCCAAGCCCAAAATTTAGGTGCAATGTTTACTCAAGGATTGTGGATTTTTGAGTCAGGAACTTCCATTAGATGCACGTGCAACACCTCTAGGAAGGGGTGCTGAGCTTTGCCACAGTGGATAATTAATTACCTGGGATTTAAATAAGGGCTTGCAAAAATTAAGAGGATTTTCACAGACCTCCATGGATATAAAATTCCAACTGTAAAGCTTAGCAGGGCCAGCAAGGCCTGCAGCATCAGCCAAGCACCCTGAAGAGCACGTTGTCACCAGAGCAAAGGCAGAGAGAAGGAGAAACCAGACCCACATCAGCCTGAAAGCCACGAGCAGGAGATACCTGGGACACTTCACCTGAGGGAGAGGAGCATCCCTTGCTCAAACATTTGGTGTGTTTTAATGGAAAAGGTCCATAATTCCCCCATTTCCCCCCTCTTTAGTTCTGCTGGAATCAGCCAGTTTGACTCCTCATTGCAGTGACAAGATCCCCGTCCCATCTCTGTGCATTTAACCTGAGGGTCACGGATTCAATTCAGCAAATATTGGTCCTCCTAATGAAAGATGAAAACCTGCTGTCAATATTTACAGAGCCAAAACACAGTGGTTAGTTTTCTTGTAAATATTTAAGAATAAAGTCAAACACAAACTCCTCAACCCTTACGACAATGAACCTCACTCACTTCTAATCAATCCAAACTTTGAAGTGTTGCTTAATTTTAGCAACTTTTTTTTTCTCTTGACCCAGATCCAAACAAGCTTCTACTTCTGGGAAATGCAATGTTCGTGTAGCAGTGCTAAAACCATCATTTATTTTTGTGTTAAATTCATAGAGGTTTTCTTCTTTCTCTTGAATTCCCCATTTGACAGTGTTCTGCATTATCTGTAGGTTTAAAAGTTGTCTTATATTCCCACTCTGCCTTGTTCATTCACTCAGGGTATAACTCAGGCTCATGTAAAACATACCAGTGGTGGCTCAGGGTTGGCATGAGCAGATAAGAGTAAATCTGCTTTTTATAAGGTTTTTATTAAAGGCAATTCAGTTTGGAGAAACAGAAAATGAAATTAAAAGTGATGCTGGTCTGTATATTAATTTCAGGCAGTTAATTAATTGGAGGGATGGCTGATGAGTGCAGAGCAGCATTGGATGGAGACTCCACGTGGGCTCCAGTTCTAGTTCTGCCACACTCATGAGGAAAAATCAGTGTTCTAGACACAACCATTAACTTTTCCTGTGCTTTGATTCATTAGCAATTTTCCTTTCCATGCTTTTTGAGGGGCAAAAAAGAAAAAGGTTTAATTTTGGAGAAGAGAGGAACAAGTAAAAGACAGCAAACCCATGAGAGCACTTAAGGAGGAAAAAAAACCCTCTTGTGTTTCTTCTTGTATTTTCTTCTTAACTTTTCCATTTACACTGAGGTACTTCAGTAGCAAGTGGGTTACATAAGGAGGTCCCACCTCAACAGAGGCAGCTCCTGCCTGCATTTCCAAAGGACAGAGCTCTCCCCAGGGCCCTGCCCAGCCTCTGGCCTGGGGGAACCACAGGAGCCTGCAGAGGTTTTATCACTGCTGACCAGGGCATTAATTCCAAACACGAATTCAAAGCCATAAATCAGCAACTCACCATCAAAGCACCGTCTGGGAGTCACAGGATGGAGATGTCTCAGTGTAACTGTGACATCATTTGAAATCACAGTAACTACTGACAATCTCTCTGAAACACAGCAAATTACCTTTGCTCCTTCCTGCCAGGAGGGAGAATGTCCAGTTCCAAAATGGGGATTTTACTGTCATTTTATGATCCTCTCTGTTTTTATGAAGCAGGAGTTACAAAGGCATTTCAAACATAAATTACTTGAAAATTCTCCTGCTTAATTCCCACTAGAACTAAACTCAAATTCTCCAGATCAAAATATTTTGGAGTTCATTTTCCGTTTCTATACCAATATAATTATGGTATTGTTCACATCTAGGGAAGGTTGGACTTGATGATCTTGGAGGTATTTTCCAACCTTAGTCATTCTGTAATTCTCTGAACACACTCTAAAAAATCAGGAGAAGTAAAAAATGACTATGAGTACAATCCCTGTGGGAGGCAGACCCATTCCACCTCCACCATGGCCTTTGGTGGCCAGGTCCTCCACACTGGGTTCACCAGCAGGAACTCCAGCCTTTACCTGGTCAGGTTGGTGGGTGTTGGGATTGCTCCAAACCTCAAGTGCACGTGGGAGTGCAGGGCTGGTGTCTGGAGAAGATTAAAGTCCCCCATGGCCAGATCCCATGTAAAGGAGAGGCCTCCAGATGAAGTGGAAGGAGTGAATAAGCAGATATTACCCAGCAAATACTCAAAAATCCAACAGTCAAACCAGGCAACTTTAACAGCTGCATTATTTTAAATTATTTCATTGAAAATGAGTGTGCAATTTAAGTCTTCAATATAAGCAAAGAACCACTCAAGTCAAATTGCTATGACAAAACCATTTGATGATTAAGCCCCAAACCACACTTTAAAGGCCAGATCCAAAGCCTTCAGGACAATGGTCCTATTTTTGCTGTGCCACGTCGTGTTTTTCATTTTACAAGTGCAGTTCTCGTTCGAGAACTGTAATTTCATATTTGGTTCACCCTGCAAGAAGTCTTTGCCTTCTCCTGAAATGCATATTTAGAAAAGCTTTCACAGAAACCTTGCAGCCAACAATAAAAAGAACCTCCCTAAACCCACCATCACTTTGGGGCATTTCCATCGACGCGGCTCCTGCCGCTGCTCCCGTTGGAGCTCTGGGTGTTAAATGATTTCTCACTTTCATCCTCAGCCTGAAACTGCACAAAACCCTCCCATGCAGGCACTGCTGGAAGCAGTGGTAGGAAAGCTGCAAAGCTCCTGGGTCTCTGGGAGAGGCAGGCAGGGTTTGGGCTGGACCGCCGCTGTTTCCCTCAGCGTCCCTCGCGCTGATTGAGTCGGAAAAGTTGAGCTGAGCGTCCTGGTGGTGGCTCCTGGCCCACACCAGCACACACTGTGGGGCCATTCTGTGCCTCCCGGGCTCTGGGTCCAGCTCCAGGTTTTGCTCAGCTTTCCTGGGAAGGACTCCAGGGAACGCTCTCACTGCTCGCTGCCGCAGTTGGGCTCCTCTCAGCGATAACAGCCTGGAATTCACGGAGCTCCAGGACATGGGGAACCACAGCAATAAAACCTGCAAACATGGGAGAGAGGCAAAAGCACATAAATATGATTCAGAGCCAATCTGAAGTTACTAAAATCCAATTGAATTCAAATTTCTCCTCTTTCTTGCCCTGGTTGATGTTTCCCCAAAGCTGCTCTCTTGAATTACCTGTGCAGAGTCACCCTTCATTTGGATCATTTGCATTTCCACATGGAAAACCCCCACCCCCTGTACTGCTTGAGGAGAAAAGAGATTTAATGATGAAAGTGCAGTCCACGTGTGCTTTGTATGCGTGGAACGACTGCACAACTGGGACTGCTTCTCTGATACCGGGAAAGACTTGCAGGAATGAAGCAAAGAAAGTGTCTCACCACCCTTTTCAAAGGATGAGAGTGTTCCAGGAGCAGAACCAAGGGCCTGAACAGAGCAGCCAAAGTGACCACTTGTACCCACCAAAGCACGAGCTTCAGTTAGGTTTGAACAGGGTGTGGGAAGAGCCTCACCGTGAGAAGAGCAAACCTTCTTGCTGGAGAGACAGAGGCACGGGCAGGTGGCCAAAGGGATGACACCTGGTGAACTGGCCGTGCTGAGATGGTACCCATGGCACTGGGTTTGGTGGGAAAATGGTTGTTTCCAGTGTTTCAGCCCCGAGGAACAACAAGGGTGTTGGTTGGAACAACAAGGCTTGGCTGGCAGCACCGCGGTCTGCTCCTTAATGTCCAGGAAACATGGATTTATGGAAAACACAGCCTGTCAAATTAATGTGAGATCAGCAAACTGACTGATAAAAGTGGTGGTGATGAGCACAGATCAAATCCCCCTCCCCAGGGCAGTACTTTGGGTGGCAGTGGCTGCAGACACAAGGGGTGTCCCCCTTGTGTGGCTTCACCACCAGGAGCGACCACACAACCAGCTCTCAGCTCCAGCTGAAATTAAACCCTCATCCATGGTACATCAGTGTGTGGAGGCCTCTTGCAAAACCAGCCCTAATATTCAAAATTTAGAAACACCATCTGTTAGAGACTTTGTTAAATAAAAACAACTCATTACTGAACGTAGATCTTGGAGAGGGATCACTTTCTTTCCCATACCTCTGATTTCCTTTAGCTGGACAAACACAGATAGTTGCTTCCCAGGATTTCTGAACCATTTCCAAAGGTTTCTGACAGCAGACACGTTCCTAACCTGTAGCAAAAGAAATAACTGTATTATGAATCTGGGACTGGCAGTAACTCATGACATTTGAATTATGTTGCTGAAAGGTGTCTTTTTACCAGCTGGTAAATAACAATCCCCCTAATTACAGATATAAATCTGTTGAGGTACGAATGCACAGTTGAAAGTGATGAAAATGTTTAATAAAATATGTCCCAGAAATGGAGAACGTGATTAGATTCAACATATTGACCACAGGGGGTTTTCCTGGACCTGCTGATAGAACCACAGCCCCTCAGGATGGAAACACATCCCTCGTTCCAGTGATAAATGGAAAGGGAAAAACACTCTGGTGATTATAATTGTTCCAAGAGATCTGAGCAACCCATGAGGCATAAAACCCCTTTTTAGCTACATAAGTTCTTATGGCTTCTTCAGGGAAGAGCATTTATTATGTGCTCTGCTCTAATCAGCAGAGCTTTAATAACTCTGTTTTTCCAGTGAAGTTTGATGAAGACATGGTTA